TCATCAACGAACTAAAAAAAAGAGGCGTATCTCCGTACATATTGAACCTCATTCAAGACTACTTCACTGACAGAACAATACTCCTCGAAGCAGAAGGAGAAAATGCAACCTTCAACATGTCGTGGGGTGTTCCCCAGGGCTCGGTACTGGGCCCCACCCTGTGGAACATCTTATATGATGGACTACTAAGGATAAAACAACCAAAAGACGTCTTGCTAACCGGCTACGCGGACGACATCGCCATAACCGTCACAGCCAAAGATATCGAAGAACTAGAAAGAAAAATAGAGATCTCAATGACAAGAATCAGGAACTAGCCAACGAAAAAACCGAAGTGATTATTCTAACCTCAAAGAGAATTATCCCCCACAGAGACCTGAGAATCATGGGAAACACGATAACGCCAAAGCAGGAAATCAAATACCCGGGAGTCTGGCTCGACAGCAAGCTATCTTTTGCCCCCCACATACTGAACGCCTCGACGAGAGCAAGTAATGCCATGACGGCTCTTGCCCGCCTAATGCCTAACGTGGGTGGACCGGACCCCAACAAGCGAAGGTTGCTATGCTCAGTGGCAAGATCGATACTCTTGTATGCTGCCCCAATATGGGGCCACATAATGAACATAGGGAAATACCGCAACATCTTCTCAAGGATTCAGAGGCAAGCGGCGCTGCGCATCTGCAGTGCTTACAGAACCGCATCTTCGGACGCCATCCTCGTTATCGCGGAAACTCCACCAATGGACCTCCTGTCAACGCAGGCCATGAACGTAGGGCAACAGAACCTCAAAGGGAAGCAGTACGACTCGAGACCAAGGAAATACTCATGAGCGAATGGCAAGAAAGATGGGAACAGAGCACGAATGGCAGGTGGACGTTCAGACTAATTCCCAACATATCGATATGGACCAACAGAAAACATGGGGAAACAGACTACTTTCTAACCCAACTACTAACAGGACACGGCTGCTTTCGGGAGTACACCAAAAATATCGAAAAAACCGAGGACGATGAGTGCACGTACTCGCGGAGAAACCCACTCAGCAGAACACACATTCTTCTACTGCTCGCAATGGCATGCACACCGAACAGCCTGCACAGACAATACTGGACCTCTCACACCAGAAAACATCATAAACATTATGACAAAAAACGCTCAGAATTGGTACGCAGTAAAAGACATGGTAAAAAAATCCTTAAAGAAAAAATAGAAGACGAAAACAAACAAATACCGGAATATTAACCAACCCTCCACCATTTGAAGTAATACCCCAGCAATTCCAAATGGTTGGATGAGTTCCAGAGGGGAAAGGGTTTTAGTCCGTCGGCAACCCTCGGAAAAGGGCGCTAACCCGACACACCCCCCGCCGCCAGAACACCAGGCAGGGACAGTCTGACAAAACAGATTTCCTAAACCCCTCTATAATAAAAAAAAAAAAAAAAGGTTGGCTGTGCAAATGGGCATGGAAAAATAAAAATTGGCTAAACTTCAACTATTTGTCGCTAAACGTAGATAAAACACACTATCTTGCCTATACTCTATCAGATGCTAATAAGCCAGAGTATAATAGTATCAGTGTTCAGGGCATGGATGAGCATATTGGGGAGGTGAGTGAGATTAAGTACTTGGGCATAATTTTAGATAGGAATTTGAAATGGACGAGTCATGTGAACTACCTTACAAAAAGAGTGAGAAAGCTCATCTACAAGTTTTATCAGATGCGTGATTTTCTTTCAAAGAGTTTACTATTAGTAATTGGGAGCGAACTCTGCGCCTACCGGTAGGTGCCGTTTGTTTCATTGATTGTGTGCCTACCGTTTATGTATACCGCTAAAACATTATGGTAGGTCCCCAATTTGATTGCCACCATGATATAACGCCTATCGGTAGGTACTCTTTGTCAAAAGAATCCTGAGCCTACCGGTAGGTTCACATTAATTCAAGAATCCGTCGCCTACCCTACCTAACTCTCTATTTACCTATCTAACCTAACTATACCTGCATTTACAAGAAGGTGACATATTTGAAAAAGATTTTCCACGTTTTTGGTGGATTTATGCTTCCGTGGATCTTCTCTTTGAAGTTTGGCGAGCGGAGCGAGCAATCAGAGACTTAAAAATGATTAAAATTTAAAGGTGTTATATTTAATAAAGGTTTTTCACGTTTTTGGTGGATTTGCGCTCCCAAGGATCCTCTCTTTGAGGTTTGGCGAGAGTAGTGAGCAATCGAAGACTCAAAAACAAATTAACGGTGTGTGCAGAAGGATTTTTAATATAGGTTGCCGTCTAGCGAATGAAGCAGATTCCAAACATCAACAAGTTTAAAGCCCAAATTGGAAAAATGTTAAGATACTAAGGCTTATGTGGACGAATTTCTTAATGACTATACTATTACTAACAAACAAAATTTTACTAACGCATTTAGCATTAGCAAGAGCTTACTGGTAGGATATAGAATATACGCATTCTAAAGTAATATGACACCTTCCAGTAGGCGCTTGATCAATTATTGACGAAAAAGGACCTACCGTACCAGTAGGTGCACAATCGGTGGATGAAAAAGGACCTACTGGTAGGCGTACGATCGTTGGATAAAAAAGGACCTACCGGTAGGCGTAGGATTCACTTCCTTAGTAATTTACAAATCTCTTGCTGAATCACTGTTTTGCTATGGCATTTTGGTTTGGGGAGGAATGTATACTAACGCACTGCAAAAGCTGAATGTAATTCAAAACTACATATTGAAAATAATTTATAGAAAACAAAGAAGATATACTACTAGTCTGCTCTATACAGAGGAGGTATGTAATATTCGCACCTTATATTTTCATAAAATATGTATCCATGCATTCAAAAATCTCCCTACTCAAATTCAATGTAACTCTGTGTATCAGACTCGTAGTACATCGAATGAGTTATTGTCAACTCGTAGATTTAATAAAAATATTTCCCATAGATTCTTCATTTATACCTACTGTCCCTAAAGCTTTCAATATATTGCCAATGGAGATCAGAAAAATCCAGAAATATAAATTATTTGCAAGGGAATCGAAAAAATATATTTTTCATAATTTGATAGCATTTAATAAAATTTTGCATAAGTAGTAGATACCAACCTAAGCTACTGACTTTCTGTTTTCTTTTAGGTATATTGCACATTATGTATATTATGTACACTTCACTGTATTGTAATTGTACCTGTAATTTAACCATTCTTAGGTATAATAAATTTGTAATCTAGTTCATAATCTCAGCACAACACAAGTGTTAAATCACTTAGGTGCTTGTTTCTTTTTGAAGAAAAAAAAAAGATGTAGGTATTGTTCTTAACATTGAATATTTATATACCCATTGTATACCTTTGTAGTGTGAAATAAATAAATAAATAAATAAATAGATAAATTTAATTATCAAATAAATTTAATTTATTAGAATCTATAATAGTAACACACAATTGAGATAGTCAAAGATTTGAAAATTTGTTTCCTAGATTTGGCTTAATGATACTTTCAACAGCAAATTTTGAGTTATCCAGACTCTCACTCAGTTTAGATGCCAATCATTTACCCATTTGATCCAAGAGAAAAAGATTTTTATTTTTATTTTCATTTTGCATATTATTGGGTCTGTTTTTGCCGAGGTTTTTGCAGAAATGACAATCCAGTCAGAGTGAATTTCATTGGTTGAAACTAGTCTTCTGACTGTTTTTAACCAATGAAATTCGCTCTGACGGGTTTGTGATTTTTGCAGAAACAGACCTATCGTCTACCATAAATTTTGCTCCAGAGTCCAGGGCGTTGCGCGCTTATTCCTTTCGAAAAGTGTTTGTTGCACCTGAAGTGCTCAAGCCCAAATTCAAACCATTTAATGCACGAAAGCCAGCGCATCTGTTCCTTTCAAATCGGGGAGGACTTACACCAGAGTGAGTAGCTCTAGTGTTCTAAACTCTTGAAAGGAATACAACTATCAAAAATACATCATAATGTACCATCGTCACCAAAAGTACCTGGGACACTTAGCATCACATTTGCTCTTGTCCTATTATATGAATTTTTTAGTATGCATGCATCATAATCAACGATTATCACACGCTGCAGCATGCATAAAATGATGTTTATGATGCACCTACCTCTTCAAAGGTTTCATATAAAAACGTTTGATCTACCTTCAATACCTTGATATCTACCTGCCGTTCAAATTACTATTTATCATAATAAATGAACACATTTTGAGATAATGATGCATTTGTAATAAAAAATAGCGTATGATATGCGTGTATGAGAGGACCTATAAAACCCTTGCGACTTACAAAATATGTCGCGCGTGCTTTAAAGGTCCTCTTATACACTTATATCATAATATACTATTATTTTCAAATATTTGTCAAACTATGAATTAAATGCATTGAAATGAATGACAGTAGAATTAGTCCAGGAGATTATTATGCATTATTTGTGTCCCAGATACTTTTGGTGACGATGGTACCTATGTGATCTTCAACCAGGTGATGCTGGATTTGGACATTTCAGATCAAGTAATCAAGGTTCCTATTTCACAACAAATCTGCACTCATGTAAAACTTTGCTCAAGATGGTAAGATACTCAGTTATCCAGATATGGACTCATGTGCCCTTACAGTCAAAGCATGTTTTCATTTGCTGTGTGCTTGATTCAAGCACTTAGGGCCGGTTGCTCAATAGCAAGTCACCTCCGGGTTAAGCATAACTCCAGGGTAAACATAGCAACTGGACACGTGTACCCTGGAGTTAAAGCTAACCCGGAGGTGACTCGCTATTGAGAAACCGACCCTTAATGCTTTGAGCAGCTGGAACTCAAGAGTTTATTTACCAGAGGGTTATTGAGGTCAGTAGTCACTATCAGGTGATTTTCCTATAACTACATTTAAATTGATAGTGTAGTTTTGGAATGGTAAAACCTCAAATACGGTTTGTACTCAACAGAGAACAAAATATAAAAAAATAACATGAAAAAGCAAACCTCTTCTTGGAGAGTCTGTTACACCATCAGAATCCATTTCTTCGTTCACAGTAGTTAGTAGGCAGTAGTAGTACTGTTAAATTAGGTATACAGTAAGTTGTATTTATTTAATAATTATTATATTTTTTGATTTTTGTTTATTTATTTTCATATTTACATTTACTTTACCAGATCAGCTGGCATAACTCGGTGTTGCCAGTTGATGCTATCGCATTATTCGCCTGTGATTCGACGCATTCTCATGACAATTTGAAAGAAAAGAAATTCCCTCTTTCGAAAAAAAAAAATCTCTATACCGACTGATAACTAATCTGTTCCAACAGTTCCCTTGAATCCCTTGGCCTATTTCCGTTCGTTCCCCTCATTTATGAAAATGAAAATTGAAATTCAAAATTCACTTTAGGAAAGATGGGAAGCTCTTGGCAACCTTCATCGCAAAAAAGGAACGAGATGTAGCGCAAATGATAACAGCGTTGCCGGATTTCCCTATGACAGCCGAGAAAATTAGGTTATGTTTTTTTTGTTTGTTGTATTTTATTTGAATAGGGCAATCCAACGACTTGTCAAAATGGAATTCAAAATGGAGGCCAATGCCTTTTTTCTACTAATAATTTCCTAAACTAAAAACTTTCCATCTTATATTACGAAAATTATCCTCTCAAACACTAGAAAATCATCCAAAAGCACCACAAAATACACAAAAAACAGTTTTTTGATGAAAAATGTCACGATTGCTTGAACTAAATTTATGACGCCAATTTTTTGGCATTGGCCATGCATTGACCACCATTTTGTTTGGATTGCCCTATTTGAAAGTATATGGCGCGAATATTTTTGCGTATTTCAAATTTTAACGATATTACTGTTTTCTGTTTCTGCGACCTGTAGGTTTTTGTTTCTTAATAATAATTATGTAGGTATTAATATTATCCTAACAAATACTATCGATAGTTCGTGATGTGGTGTTCTAGAGTTAATTAGTTATACAATAATAGTTATTTTAATAAATTTATTAAGATTGGGAATTAGAAATAATGGACAGTTGACCAAGTAATAGTGCTACCTGTGAATTTTGTGCTAAGGTTTTTTCTAAAAAATACAACCTCAACAGACACTTGAAAAACAGTAATAGTTTCAAAAATGGTGAGGAAATTACTTGGAAGAAGTCACAGTATTTTATATTAGTTGACGTTTATTTAAAAGTCTGAGAAACAATTGCTTCCCTGGAGAAAGAGCAATCCCTTCTTTTACAGTTCCGGAATATGCTTTTGACGATGCTATTTGTAGAAATGTATGGATGATTGCCAAGTGTCATTAACAACAAACCAGGAGTTGAGAAGGCAATTAACAACTAAGCATGGTTTCGAAATAGTGAAACACTCAATAAAGTTTCATAGATAGTTAAAACAATTAGAAGTAGGTACCTGTACTTCTTAATTACAATGACTCATCAAGTAAAACATATACCTCTACTTATTATTTATTGTTAAAGAGTACCTACCTATTGTAATTTATCATTATTTGTTGAATCCATATGTTGTAACTGTAACAAATGTATAAAATGCCCATTTGAAATTGAAAATGGACATTTTGAAATTAAGCATTTTTCATGTTTTTATTCAATAATAAGAGGAGAAAAGGAAATACCCATCATGAAGAGCTTTATTATTAATATTATATTACTAGAATCTATGAAGATGAATACATACATTCATATATCTATGAAAAGAACTCTGATATTTGAGAAAAGGGTCCATTATTTCAAGTAAGATAGACCTAACCAAACCACGCAGCCACCTAGCTAGCAAAAAAAAGGCTAAAAGTTTTGGATTTTACTCAAAAAACAAAACCATGTGAACTCACTAGTTTTCACATAAGAATGGGTTTCTTTGGTTTCTTTCATATAAATCATATATGTATATTTCTCAAGTAGGATCTTATGTTGCCAAATAGCATGTAATTAATATTTTCTATTTTTAAAGTAAATTATTATTTAACCAATCAAATTCCATTTTAAACGTAAACAAAACACCACACCACCACACAATACTTGAATAATAAAGAAATAGAATTCTATTTTCTATTTTAAATACCCGCCAGCTGGAGAGGGAATGGCAACGCTGTACTCATTTGCGCTACATTTACCTTGCGTTCGGTATTTTGCTCGAAGTGCAGAGCGGAGCCGTAACCACGTGACCAGCGAGCGAACAGAGCAGTTGAACGCTGTATAAAAGTGCCAGAAATTTTAATAAACGAACGCGAATGAGGATACACCGAGTACACTTTTTGAATAAACGAACGGTAAAGTCAAGCTCGGAGAACTCAGAGCAAAATAACGAACGCACGGTTAGCCGCTCCTCGCAAAAATGTCAATTTTGAATTAGGCAATTTAATCCATCTGTCAAAAAGGAAAATTCAATATGGCGTGGCGGCCAAGCAAGCTTGTTTTTATGTGTATTTTAAATTATTTTGCTTAGAGTTTTGCTTGTAATTTTGATTATTTAATACGATATTTGTTGACTAGGTACTTAAACTATTAAATCGGGCAAAAACTAGATATTTTTTTGTGTTTTTTGGCCTATCTGTGGCTTCCAGGCCATCTTGAGTGTCACGTGGTTTGAATTGCCTAATACAAATTTCCTCAATTCAATGTTGCCATATTGTCAAATATCAATATTGCATTGCTAATAAAATTGTACTTTTTTTTATTCGCTGTATTTTAAAGTATTTCGTCTAAACAGAAACCAATTTCTCAATTATTATTCAAGCATATTGAATGGTTATTATCACCTACATAGTAAAAAATTGCATTCGTGTACCAACTAACCTATATCCAAAATAGGGTTGACAAACTATCGAAAAAAAAACTATCGATAGTAATATCGATAGAATGGCCTACCCATCGATAGTAACTATCGATTGTACTATCGATAGTTTGCTCTGACCAAAGTAAACATTAACCTCCAACCTCCATCAAGTCCATCAAAGTCACTCGTCATTCCTCCTAACCGAAAAATTGGCAGCACAGCATGTCTATCCCCAAAAATAATTACAGATTTCTCAAAAAAACTACAGATTTCTTTATAATTCCCTCAATATACAGATGTTTTCATTTACCTTTGGCTACATTGGAACTATCGATATTGGTACGGGTCTATCGATACTATCGAAAATTAAAAAACCATCGATAGTATCGATATTCCTATCGATAGTTTGTTATCCCTAATCCAAAAACCTCGCCAAATACAATCCAGTTTTCTTTTATCAAAAATGGCACAAACACAAAAAGAGGACAAATTTGATATTAAGGTGGTATATGATAAATTTGAGGCCTCCTTACAAGAAGAAGACGATGTAGATTTGGAACTTTACTTAGAAAGCTTTGAGGAACTTAACAAGTAAGTATGAATCCAAACCAGCTTTTAAGAGTCATCCTCAATGCTTTTAAATTCTGTGTATGTTCTTTGCAGATTCTTTAATTTGATGGGTACAGTTTTTGGTTTTGTAAGTAAAGACTTGAGACAAAAAATGGACCATCTCAATAATTTATTAAAAGACAATGAGACCTCGCACAAATATAAAACTGTGAAAACCATGATAGAGCACGAAAAAGAAAACGACTTGTTACAAAAGAGAGGCTTCATTTCTGGCAGCAGGACATTGTTGAGGATACATAGAGGATTAGGTAAAGAAACTCTTAATGAGAACATAGATTGCCCTAATAAAGCCAACAATGATTTTAGAGTTTATTCAACTATTCTTAAAGAAAATTGGTGATTTGCAAGACCATGATTCATCATCTCCCTCATGTAGGGAGGCTTACGATCAGACATTGGCAAAACATCATTCCTATTTAATTAGAAAAGGCGCACAAGTGGCCATGTACACTTTACCAACACGAGAGAATCTACTAAAAAGGGTAAAAATTAATAAACATTATAAAATACACTTTTAACCGAAACTTAATCTTAGGTTTGTGGCGGTATAGATGAAATCCAAAGAGCCATAAATTTATTACCGAAAACATTGGCAGCTTCCACTGTTGTTTACACTAGAATTGAAACCTTATATTCACTTCACGACTTACACAATTTACCATAAAATTTAGACAAAGTTGTATTATTGAACTACTGTAAAAGGAGTTTAAAATTATTGTATGGTAAAAATGTCTATATATTATTGGTGTGCTTAATAACATATTAAGAAATCTCTATACAGGGTGGGGCACGAAAAACTTTCCACCCAGGTTTTCTCAGGTCTTAGGTGATTAATTAAAAATCGCTTGGACACATCATTTTTTGTTTTTGACATGCCCGAGCGATTTTTGTTTAAACACCAACACCTGAGAAAACCTGGGTAGGAAGTTTTTCGTGCCCCACCCTGTATTTAAATTTTATCAAAATATATTTTTGTCAAGAGCAATTAGCGGCCTAAATTAGCTTGTGTGGTATTTGTGATAATTTTACCATCCAAATGTTACATTCCTATTTGAGAATCCTCATTAGATAAATCCAGGTTTATATTTGTATATTATAAATGTAATTTTTTTATATTAACATTAAACTGAACATTTTTGAATGATAATGATAATACTAAGTAGCATCAGAGGTTATTGAAGAATGCAATGACTCTCTTGATTAAATAGTTTCCTAGATTTATTTTTGTTTTATGTTGGCAAATTTCAAATTATATATGTATGTATGTAATATATAAATTAAAAATATTTCCACCAATGATTTACTTCTACATTTTAATTGTACTAGAGTGCATTTTGTCAAAATGGAGGATTAGAATAGCTAATTGACTAGATAAGTGATGGGCAGGGTGATGGGAGATTACAAGTGCATCATTCAATGATCAATGCATTTCTGCATCTGCACCCGTACATGATTCTATAAACATAAACTACTATAATAATAATAATAACAAACTTTATTTCAAAATCATCATTACAAGTGCAACAAAGAAAGAAATGACGTCATACATATGAGTACATAGGTATAGGTACATTAAGTTAAAGGTCTCTACAAAATTCTCTTAAATTATAGGGTTCTAGGAGGTCAACTAACAGTTTTTTGATTTCTCGTTTGAATATTTTTTGGGATTTAATTTTTTTCATATTTTCTGGCAGAGCATTGAACAATTTTAGGCACATATAATGAGGACATTTTTCTGTTAATGTAAGCCTATGTAATGGGTAGCTAACATCCAAGGTTCGCGTGTTGTAGTTACATTGTTGGCCAATATCAAAACTGTCTTTGTATTTAAAAAAGAACATTAGACATTCATAAATATAGATTCCATAGGGTGATTATTCCCAGATTTTTAAATTTTGTCTTGCAACTTTCCAAGTACCCACTGTTAGTGATTACTCTTATCAACCTTTTTTGAACTACAAAAACGCTTTGCATTAGACTATCCCTTCCCCAAAAAATAATACCATATTTTAAAACGGATTCAAAATTTGCAAAGTACAGCATTCTGAGTGTCCTCTCATTCATATATTTGCCAATGACCCTTATCCCGTAGCATATTGAGTTCAATTTTTCAATTAAAATATTGATATATGGTGTGACCAATTTAAATTCTCGTCAATATTAATGCCTAAAAACTTTACATTGTTTGATAGTTCCACTTTTTTATTATTCAGTTCTATAGTTTGTGGCTTTGCTGCTGTAGACTGTTTTGTTCTAAACATTACAATATTTGTTTTTTCTTTATTTAATATTATTCTATTTTTATTGAACCATTCTGTAACTTGATCAAAAAAATATTGTGACTGGGTTAGTAACTCTGGCATTTTTTTCATACCAATAAGTAGGTTTGTGTCGTCTACATATTTCACAATATGTTGATAGGGCTTGTTCATTAAAAGGGGTAGGTCATTCACAAAGATTATGAACAGAATTGTACCCAACATACTGCCCTGAGCTATGCCTATTTCAATATATAACACTTTTGACTGCTCGGTCTTCCCTTCTTTTGTTATGCTGATGCATTGTCTTCTGTTGTTCAAATATGAACTGAGTCACTCTTTTGTATTACCTCTGACTCCATACAGTTCTAATTTCTTGAGTAGTATTTCCCTATCCAGACAGTCATAAGCCTTTAATAGGTCGAGCAACATACCAAGCACCAATTCTCCATTTTCAATGTGAAATAAAATATGTTTAATGAGTTCAAATATTGCTGTTTGTGTCGATTTATTCCTCAAAAAACTATGCTGGCACTGGTTAAAAGTGTTGCCTTCCTTTATAAAATTATTTAGTCTATTACTCATTGCCATTTTAAAGATTTTTGAAAAACTGGGCAACAAACTTATAGGCCTATAACTGTCCAGCGCTTTAGGGTTTCCTTTTTTATATAACTGCTTGATAAGAGCTATCTTCAAATTATCAGGGAATATTCCAAATTCAAATGAATTATTAATTATATATGACAGTATATTTCCTAATACCGGAGCAACCTGTTTTACAATACTGGTCGGGATCTCGTCTATTCCACTACTGTATTTATTTTTTAATTTGTTTGACATTTCAACGATTTCATTAGGCCGGCATACACACACGTTATTTCGCTCGGTTTATCGTGGCGTGTTGGGATGTAGCGGTTTGCACGCGCGAAAGAACGGCGTGGCAAAAAAGGCGTCATGTTCCATAATACTTGACAAAGTATTCAAATGATTTAGCACGTGATTACGCGCGGCATATCAGTTGGAAAGGAAAAACCGTATGTGTATGGGTAAAAAGTGTCATTTCGCCATCCGTCCATTTGCACACAAACTGTGCCACGTGAACCTGTGTCACATGGCGTGGCGTGTGGCTAGTGGGTTTCGGCCTTAAACCGCGCGAAAGAACGTGTGTCTATGCCGGCCTATTAGGTAGAACACTGGCCTTAAAAACATAGATTCAACATTTTCTTTTATCTCACAGCTAAACGGGACATAGGTATTAATTTTTTTAGGAGCTCTGGAATGACTGATAGTAGGTGCTTATTATATTCGTTGGCAATACATTCAGAGTTTCCCTCGATTTTTATTTTTGAATCAGTTGAAAATTCCTTGCAGATGGCCCACATGCATTTTGTTTTATTATCTGAGTTTCTTTCTTTTCAAATTCTTTAGTTCATAATGATATTAGCATTTTATCATATATTTTTTTCTGTTCATTGTATAAAATCTTATCGTGTTGGTTATTTCTAAGAAAGCATTAATAAAATGTCTAGCCGGCGTTTACATTCTAAGATCTCTGTATCGGTATGTACAGGGTGTTTCAGATTCGAGCCACATCATTGGGATCTCGGAAACGGTAAGATATACAGAGTTGGTTAAATGGGGGCAAAGTTTCGTAATTTGATGCTTAACAAAAGGCTACTTTGATATTTAGGATATTCCGAATACTTCCGGAGATATCTGGAAAAAACCGAAATTTTGCAAAATTGTTTTTATTTTTTCCTGACTTTATTTGGAGTGATATTCCAAAATAAATGTCAATTCATCATTGCTACCTTTTCTCCCCTACAAGATGCTACCATCAAATTTGAAATCTGACGTTTCGTCTTTGGGCCACCATCATCAACTTAATTTTTTTAAATACAGACCCTTATTTTTTATTTTAGATTTCACAAGCTTCTGATGTCCCATAACTAATGACGTATTGCACTTATTCGAAAAAATTGTATTATTGGTACTTTCCATAAAAACCAAATGTGGTAGAGAGAGACAGAGAAGAGAATTTTGGTAGGAAATTACTGAAAAATATAAAAAATATTTTTTCGAATAAATGCGATACGTCATAGGTTTTGGGACATCAGAAGCACTAAAAATCTGAAATAAAAAATCCAGGTTCGTATTTAACAAAATAGAGTTGATGATGGTGGCCCAAAGACGAAACGTCAGATTATGAATTTGATGGTAGCATCTTGTAGGGAAAAAAAATGGCTACAATGATGTGATATTTTTTTTGGAATATCACTTCAAATAAAGTCAGGAAAAAATAAAAACAATTTTGCAAAATTTCGGTCTTTTCCGGATATCTCCGGAAGTATTCGGAATATCCTAAATATCAAAGCGGCGTTCTGTTAAGCATCAAATTACGCAACTTTGCCCCCATTTAACCAACCCTGTATATCTTACCGTTTCCGAGATCCCAATGATGTGGCTCGAATTTGAAACACCCTGTACTTTTATTTGAGGTTTCTTTGTTTTTTTCCTGACTAATTTTCGAGGGTAACTTTGATTGAATAGGCCTTTTACAATATTCATAAAAAGATTCCACTGTTGATTCACATCCTCTCTTTCACTGTTATATATATCTAACCAATTTTTAATAATCGATTTATTTTACTAATAGAATTATAAAATACTTAAAAATAAAAAAAAAAAATTAATTGAATAAATAAAATATCTCTTCTAAACCTGACTGATACGGGATAGTCCCGATGATCGAAGCAACATTGCCCCGCTGAATAGCCAAACTAATTAGCTGAACAATGAAGCTCCTTGTTAATGACCTCTTGCCAGAATGTTTAATTCGTGCAGAAATCTCATTAACAAGGTCCTTTGCTTCTACACCCCAGGGTCCCAAGGTTTCAACACTAAAAGGAACAAAAACAAATTTCTCCACTAATTCCTTATATTTGCATCTCTTTTGTTGCTCCCCAAGAAAAGCTGCCTCCCCAGCTTTGTTGCTAGTTCTTGAAATGTAACTTTCAGCTAATGTGTCTCGACATGTTACGTTACATCCCATATCAATTGTTTGCCTTCTCTCCAAGGGAAATATGACAAACCATCTGCTCTCTTTCCGTCACTTCTACAAACACCAATTGGTTCTAGGCTATTAGGAGTATCTGCTGCAACCAAAGATCTGTGCAGAATTTCGTTTATGAACCGATGTCTGGACAACCTACCAGCACTATTGGAACAGCACAGGCCATGATGACCCAGAATGTCAACTAATTGTCCACAAGTGCAAGTATGTTGTTCACACACCGGTTGACCTAAACGAAGGGCAACGGAAATGCGAAAAGTGGAATCATCTAATAACGTCCCCAATGGAGGAGAAGGCAAAGCACAAAGCCACGCATTACTCTCTTGTTCTTGTAGAGCTAAAAGTCTAGCTTTTGATTTTGGATTATCAGAATTCTGAATTTTAAATTGTATTGAATTTTTACAAAAAAAATTGTCAAAATCTTTTTGAGTTTTAGGACATGGAGACGGAATAGTATTCAGATTACAAAGATTGAGCCAATTTTTCAATGCAAAGTCAAAATCTGTATAATTTTTATCGATAATATAATTTGGTAGTATAAGGGATGTTAAATATTCTGTGTCATTAACTGAACCTAAAAAGGCAGGAAACGTTAGATTTTCAACATTGCGAATCCCAAGTCCTCCAAATCTAACTGGAAGAGATGCAAGAGACCAAGCTTCCTCGTTAAGTGTAGAGTTTGTTATATGTTGCATAGTCTGCTTAAAAAGGAGATTGACTTGGGAAAGTGATTTTTTCGCTAACCAGCATGGTGAAGATCTTAAAATATATGACAGTTTAGGTACAGCTAAAGCGTTCTTTAAAAGGAAATAAGCCAAATGAGAATTCAAACTTTTTAAATTTTTGCATAAATTTTCTATTTTTTGTACTTTATTATTTAAAGACTGTTCAATGCAATTTGATGATAACGGAGACCCTAGTAGTTGTAGGTTTGAAAAATCGCAAATTTCTATATTTTCTGCAAGATTTTTAAAATCTGATATTTTTTCATTCGATTTTATGTTTTCTAGAAAATATAGTTCGCATTTACTAAAATTAATTTTCAGTCCTAAATTTTCAGATTCTGAAATAATTTTATTGAAATCTTCTAAAACTGTGGCACTAGGACCCCCTAAACTACCGTCATCTAGGTACCAAGCATTAAATTCAGATTTTAAAGAATTTATCAGAGGGTAGATAATAAGGCAAAAAAGAGGTGGGCCCAATGGATCGCCCTGTTGAACTCCTCTCTGTGATGATATGCTATTTGAACCAAATGAAAGAATTGAACTCTCTCTGTAACATTGACTTATGAAATTTAAAAAATTTGGAATGTAGTCTTTGACTCTTCTCAGTAGGATGTCTCTATGTACCGTATTGAAAGCATTTTTAAAATCAATTTTCAAAAAAACCTTATCTGAAGTATGTTTAAAGTGAACAAAACGACGAGCACTGTGTGAAATGGCTTCAGCGCCACATTTACTTCCAAAACCAAGTTGTATGGGTTGAAATAAATTAGATAAAATAGGACGAATTCGAGAACAAATAATTTTAGCAACTAGGCGTCGTAATGTGAAGCCCACCGCAATAGGATGAATACCCCCGTCTTTTTTATTTAAAGCACAGAGGGAGGCGCCAAAAAAAATTGAAGATATTTTTGGATGAATTTGTTCTTTCAAAATAAAATTAGTGAAGTTTGTAAGAGATGTAAATAGAATAGTGGAAAAACTGTCCTGCTCACCATAACTGAGGTCCTTGAGATGCTGTGGTGTAAGACCATCGAGACCTCCCGAAGAGCCAGGTCTAAAAGAGCTAATTGCGTATTTAATTTCTTCGCAACTGACATCTTCTGGAATGATCTTTGAAGGCTCGTCTGAGAATTTTCTATCATCGTCGACTTGAGGGTGCAATTCTTGGAGTTTCACGAAATTAGAAATATTTTTTGAGGATGCGAGAGTCTCTTCTGAAGATAGTATTCGAACTGCGCCGCTAATGTTTCCTTGAGATATTTTATTCTGAATTTTCTTTTCTAAGTTAAAATAGTTTATGTTTTTTTTTAAACTTTTTGAACTGTTCTTAGATGTTTTTCCATCAAAAGACTCCAATAGTTCTGACAGAGGAAGCAACTTATTTTTGGTCCAAATGTCGAGGTTTTCTTTGACTTTGGAAGTGAGTGATTTTGAAAATTTAGATTTATCTGGAAGTTTCAAAACTGAATACGGGAAAAGAAAAAGCGACATCCATGCTTGAGGTGAGTTTTCTTTCACGCAATTATTAAGGAGGCAGGAGAGTTCTTCAGAAATGGATTTTCGAGCACCTTTTGGAATTCTGTGTAGAATAGGTATACTTTCCTTTAATCTAGATAAGTAGGTATTTAACCAAAAATTCTGAATTAATGTCATAATTTGGAACTTGTGAGAAACTTGAATTATTCTGATGTTTCAAACGTATATGATGTTTCAAACCAATCTTGCCTTTGAATAATTTACCGCATGATAAGCATTCTGTATTCACAATATCTGAATTGACATCAGAGTCATCTGTAGTTTCATCGTGTTTGTGTTTCAGGCGAATATGTTGATTCAAACCTCTTTGGTTTTTGAAGGATTTGTCACAAAAAAGACATTCAGATCTGTTATTTGAATTCATAGGCACTTCGTTTAAAAAATTGTTTCTTGAGATTTCTTGGCTAGGCGGATTAGTAGGAGGTGGATCTAGAATTGTTGTTAAAAGCTCAAAATGTCCTGAATCAGGTTTTCCAAAGAAAAGAAGGTGAATCGAATTTTTTGAAAAATTTAAAAATTCAATTGATGGTCTAGAGAACTGGAAGATGTTCCCGCTTTTCCTGGATTCCTCCACAATATAAATACAAACTCTTATTTGGTAATACACTGATATAGCTTTGCATTCTGCAGATGTTCCGAAAGTTTTGTCTTGCTTCATTTTAGAACAATAGTCATATTTGTTTTCAAAAATAAATTCTTCAAAATCTTCCCAAGAATTTTCAATGTGAGTAACAGAATTCTCCCGTATTTCAGAATATCTTTCTTGCGTTTGATAGAGATGTAGACTCACTGCGCGAAAAAGGCAGTTTCCATCGGTGATGATAGAATTTCTTCTGAAGATCATAATAAAAAAAAAAATAATTACATGTATTTCTCTCTTCTGTGTAATTTCTGGAGGAATTTCATCGGACTTTTCAAGATATAGACTCCGAAATTTGTATTGTTCTTTTAGGGTATTTATTGAATTTTCTGGATCGGTTTGTTATATAAAATAGTAAGAATATGTATAAAATTGTAAAAATGGTCGTTGACAGTTTGACAGGTTTTTTTTTTTTCTTTTTTTTTTTTAACCCAAACTAACCAATTTTGTTCTTTTAGGCTACTTACAAAACTTTGTTTATTTTCTGTATTAAAACACCTTCTGTATTTTGAAAAGGAAATATGATTTTCAAATACCAGGGCGTGCGTATATTCGAAATTTGTGAATATATTATCAATGCAGCTTGCATTCCTGTTTGATATTCGTGTGTTTTCCAAGGCAGTTAAATTTACATTAAAAGATTTCATAATGAAGAGTAATTCAGTTCTTATTCTATTCTCTTGTAAAAGTTCAATATCAAAATCACCTACTATGACTAGTAACTTGCTTTCTTTAAATACTTCAATTAACAAAAACAAAGATTCAGTCTTATCCAAGAAAATGTTAATATCTCCCAATGGAGGTCTATATATGGAAATAAATATTGTCTTTATCTTACCAAAACTACATTCAAAAACGCCACTTACAGAAGTTCTATTATTTTTTGTTCCCTTGGAACCTTTTAGTCCCATTCTGCAGTATATAGCTGAGCCCCCATGTTTTCCCTCATTTCGACAAAACATTGACACTATAGTTCGCCTTACGAGTCTAGCACTACGACGTCTGAAAGGCAAGGGGAGAATAACGCCATTTATTCCGAGCTTTATGCAGCCTGTCATAGGCGTGCGCGCAGCGTTTTCAAATATTATTTTTTCCTTATAAATGTAGATGTGTAACATAGATAAATATTAAGGTATTTTCTATTGGAAGTCAAATAGGCAATATTGCAATTTTTTTATCCGCATTCTTTCCATAGTGCTAGACTCGTAAGGCGAACTTTAGATTAAAGTCCTGAATTTTATGGTTTATTAGTTGTTCTTCTGATTTCCAATGTTCAGACACACATAGTATCTTGCACTCCGGATGATCCTTGAACATATAATTAATTTGTTCCACCGAGTTTCCGATCGATTGCACATTTTGATGAATTTATGAAGTTCTTGGCTTTTTGTGAGCTCTTAGCAACATCCAGTGCACTATTTGGTGAATAGGTACTTGCTTTACGTTTTATAAAAAAGAATTGGGCCCTGAGTAGTTGACATGGATTCGATATTGTGCCAGTTTATTTTCAAGAACTGGACAACCAGTATATATCTCTTGCTGAGTGAAGGCATTCATCTTCTTGTGGGTATTTCATTTTTTTATAGTTTGGACGATTTCATTGTGTTTCAGTACAATCTTTACCAGCGTGTTCCTTACCACATTTATGACAGCATATGGTTCTCTTTGCAGTATTTAGCAACATGTCCAAAACCGGAGCACTTGAAACAAATTGCAAGGTTTACATGTTCTTGGACAAATACCTTTACCAAATCAAAGTTCACTGTCTGCCTTTTTAAAAACCATTTTGTTATTTGTGCAGGGGCTTGTAAAATTCAATTTTCTCTGTCTGGATTTCTACATTTTTTTTTTTTGCAATAACTTTAATTTTATCACCTACTTTGCATTGTCATTTATTTTCTATTTCTATATTAAGCTCATCTATAAAGTCTTAGTCGGTTTGGCCTTTCTCAATTCCAGTGATCATTTAATATCGGGTCTGTACTATCCATGTCTTTTACTTTGATTTTGCTGTTTTCTTCTAATGCAAGTTTAAGTTTCTTTTGTTGAGTTTCGCTATGGCTTTCCACTATTATGGCCCCATTTCTAAGATGTCTTATATTTTTGAAACGGCCCTCTACATCTTTCGTCCTTATTTCGTTTTTCAGTTTTTGCGCAACTTCCTCTGGATCATTCATTTCATCTATTCGGATTATTGTTTCTATTCTTGTGAAAATTTGAACTGAGGGATGGAAGCAAACAATAGAATAAAAGATAAGAGAGATGCTGGTGGTAAACTCTTCATATTCGATGTCGACGTTTTTCTCGAGGTATTTATTGTAGTTATAATGGGAACCTTTGCCTAGAACCCCCTTGACCTATTTTTCAGGGCTAAATCAAGTAGGTACTCGAAGGTCGAGTCGAAGGTGTACCTTCATGAAATGAAAAATATTTTTGTTATAGTAAAAATATTTGTATTACATAAAATACTAAAGTATATCATACAAAGTTGTGTTTACATCACAGATTATTACATACTTCTCAAATAAATAAAATCATATATAAATAAGGCATCATTGGTCTTATAAAAAAGATTTTTTTATTACGCATGCATCATAATCGACGATTATCGCACGCTGCAGCGTGCATAAAATGATGTTTATGATGCGTCTACCTTTTCAAAGGTTTGCTATAGAAACGTTCGATCTGCCATTTAAATTACTACTTATCAAAATGAATGAACACTTTTAAAACATTTTTGAGATTATGATGCATTCGTAATAAAAAATAGCGTATGATATGCGTGTAAAAGAGGGCATTTAAAGGCTTAAAGCCCTTGCGACTTACAAAACACTCTGCTGCGAGTCGTGTTTTGAAATATGCCGCGCGTGCTTTAAATGCCCTCTTATGCACTTATATCATAATATACTGTTGTCCTTATTAATAATTGCTAAAGTTCTCAACTATCTTTGTCCTTAACGCAAAATAATTATTCATCTACATTAAAAAAAAAAATAGTCTTATTCTCTAAGTTTTGGCCTATTTCTTACAAAGTTGTTGACGTAACCATGCTAACCCCATGAACAAATATTGTAGGAGGCAAGTCCCTGGAAATTATTTCCAAATTACTGTAATAACTTGCAACATGCTCGTCCTCTACAGGTGGTGCAGGAAGGTAAATGAAAGTCACTGCTGTTTCAGCTGTTTGATCACGAATCAAATTATTGAAACTGAAAAAATAATTCGAATTAAAAATGAACAATACAAAGCACAAATTACCTTTTCACATACGTTGCCATATTAGATCCGTGTGATTCGATCACATTTCCCCACTCGCTAATCGGAAATATTTCAGCAGAAATCCTTAATTTTTTCAGCATCATTTTCAATTTTTCTGTATGATTTTGCCCAGTAGAATTAAGCTGGAAATAACTGGTACGAGTTTCATCACAAACGCAAATTCTCAATTTCAATTGGCTCCACAAGGGAACCATATTGACGATACAAGCAAGTTGCATCATGAATAATGAAGTAATATCAAAAGCATCTTGTTCGCCGGGATTCAAGAAGTTTACTGGCCAAACGTCAATGTATAATTTGGATTTTACACTAAAATTTAATTAATAGAACAAAAAATACATTAAAAGTACAGTACAGGACAGAAAAGAAAACCGGTTAGTCCATAAGATATGTAAGTACCGCCCTGTTTTCATTCCTGTCACATACTATATAAATCCTTACATTTTAAGATCCTTTTTTAGTTTGGCAAAGTTCCTACAAAGACAAAGATTTTTGTTCATTCTCAGAACATCCCTCATCATTTGAATGTACTCTAAAGGTTCCAAAGAACCATGCCCCTCCATGGGAAATAAGTCATTTTCAAAGTCAACATGTTTGTAAGGAGATTCTGACCTAAAAAATCAAAGAAGCCTTAATATATCCAAATAATATGTATGCAGTTATTTCCTTACTCAACTAAAAAGTCCATTGGTTCCTGATTATCCAAAAACCCAATAATAACAGTATTTGGTTTCATTGCTCCCATTCCACTTAAACGCATCAAATGCTGTAGGCCTTCTCTTATAGTTTTTGCTACAGTTAATTCTATAAACGCTTTGACCTTCAAGTGATCAACCAAATTTTGCCAATGAAGCGTCATGTCTAGAGTGGGATCAGGACCTTCATTAGATTCTCCTCTAACCACATGCCCCAAAACATATAATCCACCTTTTTTCAGGCCATTGATAAAATCGATCAAAGGACAAGCAGATCTTGGGTTGTTGACTAGAAGCAATACCTGAGGGCGCCAAAATTTCACATGGTCTTTGCGAGAATCCAGCAGGAGAAGATATTTACGAACCTAAAAAGTACCTACTTTAGTATTTTTATGAAAATTTTAATAAAAAGTCATAGTACCTGGTGGAAAATTAAAGCTTGTGATATACTACCCCAATCAGCTCCTTTTGAAGGTGAAAATAAATGTAAAAATATCACCAGAAGCAAACATAGCAAAATACTGCAGGCGGCATAGATGGGATTTATCACAAACATCATTATAAAAGTTCCTAGAAGCCCTATAAAGGCCGTATGCCAAGTGAAATAAACGAACGATGGCCTGAAAAAGACAAATTATCCAACTGTGGGAACCCGTATGAAATAAATTCTCACCTGAAATTTGGTGCTCCAGCAAGTTCCAAGCCCAAACAAGCAAGATTAGTTGCCAAGTAACTCAATAAAAATAGCACAGAATTCAACTGCGCAATTAAATTGAGAGAACCAATCAATAGGACTAGTTGTACCAAAAATGACGTCACTAGAACTGCAGCTACAGGATTTCCTTTCCAAGTACCTTTTGGTATAAAATCCAGAATGGAACCAAAAATGCGATCTTTTGCCAAGGCCTCTAAAACTCTGGATCCACCAATTACGTTGCTTAGGGCTGCGGACCATGTGGCTGTGAATAGACCAATGGCAACACTGGCTGGAAAAACACTACAAAAAAAAATTGAATTAATTTAGGTTTTCAACAACTAAGAATTTAAAGTTGGAGAGTGCCAGATTTTTGGAACAAACCTTTTTGATTTGATTACATTGTTTAACGTTCAAGGCATTAGGCTGACGGAATAGCAGTGAATATTAGAGAACTTCAATACAATTCTAAATATCGACACAAATCACATCAACATTCTTCTGAATGAAGAACTGATATTCCTCAAACTTTAGGAGTTGCCAAAGTCAAATCCTTTTTGAAGAATTGAAAAACTTTTGGTGGAAACGGTCTTTACTCTAAAATTTTTGAAGAGGGGGAAATTCCCCTGAAGTACAAAATATTTCACTTCATTAAGGTTACACGGGAATAATTCAATTTTAAGAGTCAGTTTACAAAAATAAAGGTCTCCTCATTAAAAAACCACAGTAAGTACAGGGTTATTGGTTATAAATGTCACCCCCTCTATCTTTTTTATTTGACATTTTAGAAAAAAGTGTCCCAAATAAAAAATTTATGGTTGAAATTAATTTTTTTGAAAAACTCACCTTTGCATATACAGGGTGTTTCAAAAAAGCTGGTCGCGCTCAAACTTTCTTATTTTAAATTGAATACCCTGTATATTATTCAATATTCGGATTCTACGTCAAATTCTGAGCAGATTTCATGTGATATTCCCTATACCTAAGTTCAACTGTTTTGGAAATATTGACAGTTGAAAGTTGACTTTTTTGCAACTTTGACGGGCTGTAAATTCTAAAAGGTTAATAGACCCAAGAATAGACCTATCTATTTTACAAGACAAAGAGGTAATAATACGAAAACTTTATTAGATAGAAAAAAAAGCAGAACGCTTATTGCGCAAGACGAGGCAAAGCGTACCAAATTATGTTAGACTTACATATAGCAATCCGTTCTTATTATTTGCACGGGATAAAAAAGGAAGGAGGAGAACCGCGTGACGTGCAACCTATTTGTCAATCAAAAACACAAACAATTGAAAATCGATCACTTGTCAAGCTACATCAAGTTGAATATCAAGCATAATTTTATCCTTGTCAGACCACGGGCAATGAACGAGGACAAGGAGATGCCCGGCGTGCAAAAGGATTACTTCACACCTGTACTAGTTAGCCAATAAAAATGCATTGCCTCGTGTTGCGCGCGCATACAGGTAAAAATAGATAGGTCTATTTTAGAGCAAAACCGATCTTACATTTTTATCTTATGACGTTTCCGATTGGTAGATCTAGTGCAGAACTAGTGCAATTTTTTCTATTCCTGTCTTTTTCTTCTACAGGTCGAATAAAAGGATGCAAATACACTCAGTGCGCACTGAATCTACCAATCGGAAACGCCATTAGATTTTTATAAACTATCAGTTGACACCAATATTTGACATCAACTTTGAATTTAATCCCTGATTGAAAATTCCAATTAAATTTAATCTTCAGTTAAATTCAAAGTTGGTGTCAAATGAAAACTTGTGAAAATCTTAGAAAAAAATGTAAGATCGGTTTTGCTCAAAAAATAACCGTTTAGGTTTTACAGCCTGTCAAATTTGCAAGAAAGTCAACTGTCAATATTTCGAAAACAGTTAAAGTTAGGTATATACCCTATCACATGAAATCTGTTCAGAATTTGACGTAGAATCCGAATATTGAATAATATACAGGGTATTCAATTTAAAATAAGAAAGTTGGAGCACGGCCGGCTTTTTTGAAACACCCTGTATATGCAAAAGTGAGTTTTTCAAAAAAATTATTTTCAACCATACCATCGTCACCAAAAGTAACTGGGACAGCATCAAATTAGCTCTTGTACTATTATATGAATTTTAGTGTCAAATATTTGTCAAACTATGAATCAAATGCATTTAAATGAATGACAGTAGAATTAGTCCAGGAGATTATTATGCATTATTTTTGTCCCAGATACTTTTGGTGACGATGGTACATTTTTTATTTTGGAAACTTTTTTCTAAAATATCAAATAAAAAAGATAGAGAGGGGTGACATTTATAACCAATAACCCTGTACAGTTCGTAGTGGGGAATACCTACTTACTTCTATAAGGAGATTTTATGCTAGGTTACTAAAGAAAAAGGCGTTTAAATATATACATTTTAAAAGTTTCCCCGAAGAGTCCTGGAGCTATTGCAATCTAGCTTCAATATGTTGGCGGTCAGTTTTCTGGAGAGTTGTTTGATAATAAATTCCGTTTTTTAGATACTCCGCACGTTGTAGGTGACCTCTTCGGGTCTAATCTTATTAACATAACTTTGGTATCTACTAATGAATAGGGAGATCTTGGCGTCGTAACTAACAAAATTTGAAATCAGAAGCACATATCTCAAAATGTATTGAAAAAGACGGAAAAAGATCTAGAGTTGAAATTGCGCGGACAAAAAAAAACGATCGACTCTTTAAAGGATAAGTTAAATAAATGTATCATTGAAAATTCTTACTTGAAAAAGGAAAGAGAAGAATTATTGTACAAAATGATCAGAGATGATTTAAGAAACGAACTTATACAAGTACGAAAAGATTTGAACGTCAAAGACTTGATCATTGAAGAACTAAAAAATCAAATGGCAAATCACAATCAAGCGGTCCTCACCGAACAAATAACTCGGTTAAGCGTAGAGAAGAATGCCACTGAAAAAGAACTTGAGTTACCTCAAAATGAACTAGCAAGAGCAAAAACCGACTTAAACGACCTGAATCTTTTGAAGAATAATCTTCTTACTTCGATAGAGACCTTATCAGTGCAAGAACAGTCTATATTTAAAGGAAATCGTGAAACCAAAGAACGAACTGTGTATTAGCTTGAATAAAGCGGACAAGGAACAGTCCCTAGCTTCCAGCCTAGAAGTGCTAAAACCTATCACTCATAAAATCACAAGAACCAAATCCTTCTGTTGGTAATAAGTCTTGTGTAAGTGGAACTGGGTTACTTGTCAACTCTTTTTGTCAGAGCAAATATGTTATAGATTGGTACTCTAATTTCATTAATTTCAAAGGACCAGCGGAAACACTCATTAAACAATTTTCCCTACTGATTAAAAATTTTACAAAGAAAGATTTTGACGTATTATTTACTGGGATGGTCAATGCTTTACAAGGGAAAGTCATCGATGACTCTTGTTGGTATACGATCTCTGAAATATCGACGAGAACTAGAACCAACTTAATCATAGTCACTCCTCCTTATTGTGACAACAGAAGAGTTCTTAACAATTTTATTTACGATTTTAACATGGATTTAAAAAAACCCCTGTACCGATGTGTATCAAGTGCTATTACTTACCCAGTGATAAACAGATGTCTGCTTATGAGCAAAATCGAAATGGGTACCTGGATTATGAAATCAAGAGAAGGTTGTCCAGGTTCATCTGTTATCCAGTAATTGACCAAGAATATAATATGCAAAATTTTCCCCCAGGCAACCACCTTTCTACTCAGCCTTAGGCAACACAACATCAGATGTAACCGCCTTGACCATTGAAACAAATATTCTTAAAAGGACAAATTCACAAAATAAAAATATCACAATTTCGTGGACTGAGAACCAAAACGGTGCCATTCCAGCAGGAAGTATTAAACTGTGATTATGATGTTATTGTGCTGGAAGTATTAAACTGACTGATTATGATGAGACATGGCTGAACGGAGGAATCACCAAGGAAGAATTATTCCCTCCAAACTACATGGTATACAGGATGATCCACGTAGCCTGTGCATTAGCTTGCAGGTGGATTAGATGCTATTTTTAGTAATCCACCTGCAAACTGGACAACTTCCAATGCAAGAAGAGATAGAGAGCCAGATCAAGCAAATAAATCGACAGGCGGTGGAGTGTGAAGTCTCATCGCAGAGGAATGCTCCTTCGAATCATCAATTTGTACAGTTCCTGACAACGAAGTTGAACAAATCTGGGTTAGTAGACAGTTTGGAAATGACAACTACATTGTGGGAGCGCTCTATGTACCACTATTCGCCAAGGCCGCAGTTTATGAAGACTTTGTAACTTCCGCGAGTTATGTCCTCGACCATTTTCCGATGACTAAAGTGTGTTTTTTTCTAAGATAAAAGTCAAAATGACATTATGTTGGCAATACAATGTAAAATTGTCAATGCTTTAAATTTTTTTATGCAGAAAAGGCTTGTGTTGCCAACATAGTTACTAAATTTTTGACTTGGGGAATTATCTTTAAAAAAAACACGGACTTTAAAGTTTTGCTATTGGAAGACTTTAATTTGCCTAGCTACGAGAACTCGTTTGTTCAAATTAAAACTTGTGATAAAGCGGATGTTGATTAGAACATTTGCCTCAACTTACTTTCTACTAAAAGTGACTGTGGCTTTGATAAGATATTTACTTCGAACAATGAGTGTGAGCAAATACTTTTCGACTGTACACAATCTGTCACCTCTAACTACGTTGATAGCCATCATCCTGCTTTATTGTGGGAGATAATGTATCGGATCTGCAAGGCTTTAGGTATAATTTTCATAATGCAAACTACGATCTGTTGAATGATTGCTTCGAATCTATGAATGGGAGCTTTTTCTATTGTAATAAGGTATGATTGCTGTGATTGATAAGAAAAACTTGAAAATTATAAACACACTAGATTAACTTATGACGAGTGTCAGTATAAAATACTTAGGTCACATCACAGTCAGAGACTTCTATTAAGAAAGACTATAATATTTTCGTTCTGACTGTACAAAATAATATCTTGAACAACACTAAAGCATTCTGGTCTTACATAAAAGCCCAACGTAACACAACTGGCTATCCTGTGAAAATGACAACATAACAATCTCAATTCAAGCGATGCTAAGATCATCGCAGATTTTTTTGCAAATTTCTTCCAGTCTGTATTTACTGTACCCGGCCCTGCAGTGAATAAAAACCCAGTTTTCATGTTCTATCAACAATATGATTCTTTCTAACATAGAGTTAACAGTGATATTGTATTTCAGAAACTAGACGAGAGAAAGGGAGCAGGACCAGATGATATTCCTCCAATTTTCGTAAAGAACTGTTATCCAACCTTAACGTCACCACTTAGTTACCTGTATCGGCTATCTCTTGATTCGGGTCAGTTCCCGAACCTCTGCAAATCTGCCTATGTGACTGCTATATTTAAGGGGGTGTCAGGGGACACATATCCAACTATCGCCCCATATCTGGCCTTGATCTATGGCCAAGGTTCTGGAATCTGTTGTCGTTGACGAGCTTCTGTCAAATCTATACAACAGTCTTTTAGAACACCAGCATCACAAACCAGCATGGCTTCCTGCCAGGGCATTCATGCCAGACGAACTTAGGTGTTTATTTCCATTACTTGTCTAAGTTGTCTACTTTTATCGACTCTGGGGGTCAGGTTGATTCGATCTATTTTGATTTTAGGAAGGCCTTCGACAGATTAGATCATGTCATGCTGCTCAATAAACTAGTCATTCGGCGTCACAGACCCTGTTTTATGTTGGGTTGCAAGTTACCTCCAAAACCGAACACAGCTCGTTAGGATTAGGGGAGCTGTATCTAGAGAAATTGCAGTCACATCTGGTATACCCCAGGGGTCACATTTGGGCCCTATTTTGTTTCTTGTTTTCATTAATGACCTTACCAGTACATTCACCAATTGCAAATTTCTCTTCTATGCTGACGATCCCAAAATTTTTAGAAGCATCACTTGCAGCCATGACTGCTCACTTCTACAGGTCAAGGTCGATAAGATATCAGAATGGTGTACGTTAAATAGAACTGAACTAAATACTTCCAACCAAATGCAAGATAAATATCCTTTTCTCGAAAAAAGCTCCCATCCTGCATTCCTACTTCATTGCACATTCCATTCTGCCAAGAGTAGATCTAATTAACGATTTGGGAATAGTTTTTGACACTAAATTAGGATTTAACAATCATATAAATTTCATCTTAGCAAAAGCCTTCAAAATGGCAGGCTTTATGATGCGTAGCTGTGGGGAATTCTCCAATATCGAGGTGCTGAAGTTTCTATATTTTTCATTGTTGCGAAGCGAAGTCACTTTGAGTATTGTTGCATAGTTTGGTCGCCATATTACTAAACCCATATTAGGCGTATCGAACGTGTTCAAGGGAAATTTGTCAACTTTCTGCTATACAAACTTGGAATTGACAAGAGTCAATTTTCACACCAAGATTGATTGCAACTGCTGAATATCGATAGCTTGAAGATGCCTAGGACATTTCTGACACTTGTGTTTGGGTTCAAAATACTAACTAATGATGTGAACTGCCCGGAACTTTTGGCACTCATAAACATTCGTGTACCTTCACGCTGTACGCGTTTGAATGGTATGTCTTCAACCAATAAAAGCCGGACTGATGTTGGCAACTCAGCAACAACCACATCCTTACTCTGAAAGATTAGGAAAAAAATTAAAAATATATAAGACAAATCATTGGAAATTAATAACTGTACCAAGTTCCTTGGAATTAATATCAATAGCAGGTTGAAATTTCATGACCACATGGCTTTAAGACAGAAACTAGCTAGGGGGGTTATGCTGTTAGGGTTAGGGCAAATGAAATTGGTCCAGAGGCTGCTAAATTAGCATACTTCTCACTTGTAGAAAGTCATATGCGCTATGGAATTGCTTTTTAGTGTTGCTGCAGCGAATATTTGTTTAACACTATATTTGTTTTACAAAAGAGAGCAATTAGGTATGTCTATCATAAAACCTCTAGAGAGTCTTGTAGGCCTGTATTTGAGAACCTGAAAATATTACCTTTATGTTGTTTTTTTATAGTAGAAACGACCAATTTAATTTATAAAAAATTTGGAAGGCATCTTAATAACAGTTTTTGTAGCAAACCATTTAACACCAGACAAAATTTTGACATTCCAATGCCCATTCTGAGGACAGAACTGACCACAGACTAAAAACTCTGTACTTTACTTAAGTTTTGAGATTTTAAACCATCTGCCAAATGGCATTAAAGCAGCACAAACACTGATGCACTTTGAGAAGTTAGTTGTGTCACTTCTTAAATGTAAGGCATTTCGTAATTCGACTGAGTATTTTGTTAGCAACTGGGATTATTCAAGAATAGACTGAATAGGGGACTGGATGGTGATCTCTGTGTATTATCTAATGCATTTGTGTAATAAACTGAACATACATTTTATGCACTCATTGAAACAAACTTCCGCGTGAACCTACCATAAAACAGCTCCGTCGGTTTTACCACTTGCTGTTGTTTAAATAATAATACCCGAGATGGTTGGTTACAAACTCGGTTACAAATACCAAGAGTTTTGGTAATTAATTGATTTTTAGAGCTGCTCAGGTCTAAATTCTTGTTAAACAGATCAAAGTTATTTACCTACCTGACTCCAGCCAAAAACAAATAATTATTTTGCATCAGGTCCTTAGTGCTTGTAGAGGCAACCAATAGAGACATGGATAAATAAATTGTGAGAGTAAATCCTATTGCAGATAGGGTTCCTCTAGGGATTGATTTTCCAGGATTTTTCAATTCACCTTCAAAATAAATTGATTATTAGCAAACTCGTGAGTTTTTCAGGATAAACTTCTTACCGCTCATATTAGCGCCTGCCATAATCCCAGTAACTCCCGAAAATAATACACCAAATACAGTGGCAAACGTAACTAATTCACCTTTTGCTGTGTAATCTTTGCCATAATGCTCAAAAAGGTTACTGTATAGAGTTGTGGAATTCAAGCCAGTATAAGTGAAATTTGTTATATTGTGTATTAGGGTGTTTGAGGCTGGTACTGGAACCTTAAAAGACGTTTTGTTTTACATTGACATCATACTGTGAGGTGCATTATTTACCTCAATGATCCCTTGATAAAAGAAACTGAAAAATGTAATAGCCAAACAAACGCATACAATGGCCAAGACAAAAACAGTGGTTTTGGCAAACATTGCCGCACCAATGAGGCATATTATGAGATTTGCTATATTTAGGGCCGTGCAGTATAAAAATTCCCACCAACGACCATCTTTCAGTATGTTTTTTATAAAATAGCCTAGAAAACATCCTCAATAAGATACTAAATTAAATTGTTATAAATTATTAACCACTAAAGTATTATTAATTGAATATAAACAATAATTAGATAAAAAACAATTATTTTGCTGAATTAAAGTCACAAGTGTTGTCTCAGCATTTATTTAGGTATGGTAACAAAGGAAATAATCACACAACACACAAGGCTGAGTAATCACATTATTAAACCACCAAGATAAGCAAAAAAATATTATATATAGTCGCCGCCACAGATATTCGAGATTCCTACAAAAAATGACCCTGACTAAATGCAGGCATGCTGATAATATAAACATACTTTTTTGTAGGAATCTAGAATGAAATACCATATTATTAATATGAAAAATTTATTCTACCTGATGGTCCAAAATTTTCAACCAACCCTTCAACACAACCAGAAATGCATAGGGCACTGCTAACAACGTTGGCCAAAAAGAATAGAGTCCCTATAGAGCCTCCGAATTCCGGCCCTAAAGTCCTACTTATCATAACTATAGTTATTTATTAAGGAAAATAAACATATTTTTGGTAAAGAATTGGTATAAGAAAGGATACAATATGCTCCACCCCCTTCAACAGCCCCATTTGTAGATATAGCACAAACAGAGCTAACTGTGAATATAAGTATCGTGTAAGCTATGGCAAACTGAGCAAGGGTAACTAATAATCCAGCGTTTCCTACAATATATCCTGAAAAAATTCTATGAAATTAATTTAAGCACAGTTAATGTCAAGAGTTCTTACCCATTCGAAGAAAAATTAAGGCAGAAAACATGGACAAACTAACTGGTGCAAATACTCCGGCAAAGGACCCCAAAGTCCTAGTGCTAGATTCATCGGAAAATGATGTAAATTGGACATAACTCGAGTCAGAATTACTGCTGGAAGGTCCATAGTTGTTTTTGTTGAATATTCCTGATATCCGCCTCATTACTGAAGAACTAGTGCCTCCTACAAGAGGCGTTTTGTCTACATTATTTGTGGAGCCTTCCGGTGGGGCTAACATTTTCAGTTTCTATTCTCTGTGATATAATTACAAGGTCTAATAATGCATTTTTATTGATTAGGTTAAGAGATTGTTATTTCAACAGGAAACAAAGAACTGATTGAACAATCTATAACCAACGCTATAACTATTTTTGTAGTGAGTGATTTTCGTTTTGTTTAGTATTGTTGATTTGTCATAATAAACCACAGTTTCAATCTCGACAATCAGCTGATTCAAGAAAAGGACACTAGACACTCCGACCTGCTCCGACCATACTCCGACCGATTCTTGACCGCCGACCGGGACCGGAGTCAGTCAGCATTGAATATTCGAAAACCCCTTTGGTTGGGTCATCAAGTGCTGCCAACATCAATCCAAATGTCATCTGTCATTCAAGCGAGGAAAATAAAATTTCCCTAACCCAAAATCTTTTTCGTGTCGTCCATTTCGACGTGTGCACGTGTTTTTGTGTAGTGCCAGCGGTAAATTAAAATTTCACGATGGCACCGAAAGGTAATAATATGATCCCTAATGGCCATTTCCACAAGGATTGGCAGAGGTTCGTGAAAACCTGGTTCAACCAGCCCGCACGTAAATTCAGGAGGCACCAGACTCGTGTGAAGAAAGCCAGGGCCATCGCCCCCAGACCAGCTGCCGGACCATTGAGGCCAGTCGTGAGGTGCCCCACAGTCCGTTATCACACTAAGGTTAGTAAATAGTAACATATTGCATGTTTGCTGAAAAATGTGTTGAATTTAACCCAAAGTGAGGTTAAATTATTCCAATCATGAAAAGCTTCCGCGTAGCTTATTTTATTTCAATGTTTATAGGTACGAGCTGGACGTGGTTTCACCCTGAGAGAGCTTAAAGCCGCAGGATTGAACCCCAGATTTGCCAAGACTGTTGGAATTGCTGTAGATCCACGCAGGAGGAACAAATCAGTCGAATCAATCCAAGTTAATGCTCAACGTCTTAAGGAATACAAGTAAGTGTAGTTACCCACATACATTGAAATATGTATTTGTACTTGTATAGACTTCCAAGTCGCAAAAGTCTTCAATTGGATATTTTTTGCTGGACTCTGGGCAATCCAATCATATTCATTCAGTTACTACTTTTGTATGATGTTACAAGCTGTGACCTGGAGGACAAAAAATAGTTGAGCCAAATTTTGAAAAAGTTGAAGTACCTATTCTACATTTTTGTGATTCAATTTGAGTTAAAATCATTGGGTCCATTCAGGTGGTGCCAGCGGCTAAGTTCAGCCACTCGGCAGGGATTTTATTCTCGAAACAGGGGAGCAGCGTTCTCATGAGAACAAAGGTTCTGTCTTCGTTGTCTTTATTCAAATTTCCATAACACTGAAAATGAGAACGCTGTTCCTCGGTTTCGAGAATAAAGTCCCGGCTGGGTGGCTGAGCTTAGCCGCTGACACCGCCTGAATGTACCTATTTTGTACAGGGTTATCTATTATAAATGTCACCCCCTCCTAACTTTTTCATTTGATGTTTTTGACAGAAGTGTCATGTTTTTAAAGATAATTCCCCAAGTCAAAAATTTAGTAACTATGTTGGCAACGCAAGTCTTTTCTACATGAAAAAATTTGAAAACATTGACAATTTTACATTGTATTGCCAACATATTGTCATTTTGACTTTTATCTTTAAAAAAAGAAAAGGACTTTATTTGACTCTTTAGTCAAAAACGTCAAATGGAAAAGTGAGGAGGGGGTGACATTTATAATGGATCACCCTGTGCTTAATACTTATAGCTGATAATCATTGATTATGATGAGAAATACCCTATTATTCATATTATTCAGGAAACATTAAAAGCATGCTTGAAAACTTTGCTCAAAGATCGTCAATGGTATAAAATGCCTTTTTTCCAATAAAAATGCATTTAGCGACCTTTGGAAGGCCCTTGGTTTTGAAGCATTTCCAATTTGCAAACCAGTATTGTATATTTTGAGACCATTGTAGATGATTGATACGATGAAACACACACCTATAGTCTGGCAAGTGGTAACTTTGAGGGTAACTTGATAGAGACGAAAGGGGGAAGAAAAGTGGGGCGAATATTCACTGACACCACCTAATGACAACCATGTCTTTGAGTTCAGTGGCACCGAAAATACCAAGGAAATAAACCATTAAAATTATTAGAAAAAAATTCTTGAGTTTCGCCATTGTGTTGTCATTCAGGCTCTAACCAATAGAATCATGCCTTCGAATAATTATACCTCTCTACATCCATCATTTTGCAATATTGCCGGACTTTTTTTTATTTCAAAATACTAATGGCCGTTTCCACCAACAAATTTAGGGGAGACTTAACGATAGGTATTCCGCAAACTGACAGTTTTCCATGGAGAAATGTCAGTTTAGGGAATACTTACCGTTAAGGCTTCCCTAAAATAGTTGGTGGAAACGGCCATAAAATACACAACCTTGACACATGCCCATCATATGCCCATATTCCAAAAAAAAATATGTCACAAACTTGTATATTATTGTTTCTGTCAAGTTTGTTTTTTTTATGATGGGGAGTAAGAGAAATTTATTAATAGTTATTTATTTTATTTCCTACTGAACTAATATAACCATATAATACCTTGGTTACAATAATCATAAACAGGGTCTTAACTCCCAAGGGAGTTAAGGATATCATAACTCCCAAGGGAGTTAAGGATTTCCATAACTCCTGCTTTCACCTTGACTAGGTGAAACTTTGACAAAAAATGGACATTATGGTTTATGGTTTATTTCTTTATAAAAATTACAAAATACAGTAAATTCAGTAGGAAATAAAATTATCTATATACCACGGGAATTATCAGGTGTTAATACCCACGGGCAATTGGTGTCCCTCAGGCCGAAGGCCCGAGGGACACAAACTTTGCCCTGGGGTATTAACACCCTCATAATTCCCTTGATACATAAATAACTATTATTTTTAACCATATATGAAATGTTGTCATTACTAAGTTTTCAAAAATTTGTTAAAATGTCACATTTCTGTCTTTTCATTTTCCTGCTCCATTACCTGTCCCAGGACGGGAATTTTTTTCCGTCCTCATTTCCCGTCCACGGACGGAAAATAAAGCAGGGAAATATTTCCCGTTCTCATTTTCCTCTTCATTTGCCGACCTCATTTGGTTGCCCCGAATTTTTTTTTTTTTCAAGAAATTATGGTTAAAAATAATAGTATATTACAATCCGAGACAGGAAATGCTTCATTACTGGTCGAGAGGTTTTATAGTTTATCGAGACGCGTAGCGTCGAGATAAACTGAACCTCGAGACAGCAATGAAGTTTCCCATTGAGGGTTGTATACTATTTTATTTTTAACCATAATTTCTTGGAAAAAAAAAATTCGGGGCAACCAAATGAAGAGGAAAATGAGAACGGGAAATATTTCCCTGCTCCATTTCCGTCCATGGACAGGAAATGAGGACGGAAAAAATTTCCCATCCTGGGACAGGTAATGGAGCAGGAAAATGAAAAGACGGAAATGTGACATTTTCAAATTTTTGAAAAGTCAGTAATGACAACATTTCATATATCGACGGTGATCTGACAATACCTGCTAACTGACATTTTATTCAAAAATTAGATTTTTCTACAGTTAGCCTTGTATTTTTGTTAGGCACAATACGATAGAGCCTGCTATCTGCTTTCAATTAATATTTAATACGTCTGTTTAAAATTTAGATATTCAGTTGTAAATTTATTTAAATAAGAACGGTTTTTTATTCCCCCTGTAAAATTAACGTTTATGCACATAGCAGGTATTGTCAGATCACCGTCGATATGGTTAAAAATAAAATAGTATACAACCCTCGACTGGAAACTTCATTGCTGTCTCGAGGTTCAGTTTATCTCGACGCTACGCGTCTTGTTAAACTATAAAACCTCTCGAGCAGTAATGAAGCATTTCCCGTCTCGGATTGTAATATACTATTACAAGAGGGTGAAAAGATGCTTTATTTTTAACCATATATGAAATGTTGTCAATTACTGACTTTTCAAAAATTTGAAAATGTCACATTTCTGTCTTTTCATTTTCCTGCTCCATTACCTGTCCCAGGACGGGAAGTGAGGCCGGGAAATTTTTTCCGTCCTCATTTCCCGTCCACGGACGGAAAATGGAGCAGGGAAATATTTCCCGTTCTCATTTTCCTCTTCATTTGCCGACCTCATTTGGTTGCCCCGAATATTTTTTTTTTCAAGAAATTATGGTTAAAAATAAAATAGTATACAACCCTCGACGGGAAACTTCATTGCTGTCTCGAGGTTTAGCTATAAAACCTCTCGACCAGTAATGAAGCATTTCCCGTCTCGGATTGTGAGTGGAAAATGTTGATTCACAAGCGACGAAGGAGCGAGTGGATCGATTCCACAAACAGGTAAAGCTTTTTTACCATCGTGTCTAATATTCTATTTTATCTACAAAGCGAAAATAAGAATTTTTTTCCATCATTTCCGTTTATTAGTCGTTGTATACCTTCATTTTACCTTTACAGGTCATTTGTCAAATCACCAAAAATAGTTGTGTTATGAATTCATAACCTTGTCCATAACACCACTAGTTGTGTTATGAATTCATAACCTAGTCCATAACACAACTAGTTGTGTTATGAGCCTCATGACAAAACTCAAATACTGGAAAAATAGTTATGTAAAAACGTCATAACCAAACGCTTGTAGATAAAAAGTTTTACATCACACATGCGTTTAAACATGACTACAAAACTCGTGTGATTAGAACGACTCGGTCTACGACCTCGTCGTTCTAATCTTTCACACTCGTTATTGTAATTATGTTCATAAATGCACTTGTTTATTTATTTTCACTTCCAACGGGCAGCGGCCCAATTTTACAAATATTGCCACAATAATAATAAGTGATGTGAACAAGGGAACATTCTGATTGTGCTTTCGAGAACATTCGCGAACGTTCGCGCACGAAAAAAAGGTTCGTGCTGAATATTACCTTCGGAGCACAATGAGCACTATAGAGAATATTCAGCACGTTCTCAGGCACGATCCTAACCAATAAAATCACATGACGCCATAAAGTAGAGATATATTTATGGAAGCTGTTGAAGGCGAAGGTATATCGAATATTGAGCCCGAGAACCAGGAAGCAACTTAGCAGCAATAGTTTTTTTTTTTTTGGAGGCAAAGGTAGCGTTGTACTGGAATATACTTAAACTAAAATCACTATTTTATTTTATTATCAAAAAAAAAAAGAATCCTAATGATAATTGTATGTTGAAGTTTCACAGAAAACCCCAAATTAGAATAATTATTGTTATCAAACATGACACAATTCACAAATTATGTGATTAATTATGTATTAAGTAGGTATATTTTCTTAAGAAGTTTGAGAACTTTCAGCACATTTATCAAGAATTTTCAGAATATTCAGAACTTTCACGAGAAATTTGGGCATTTCGGGAAATTTGAGAAAAATCAGAATTTATTTAGAAAAATGTTTTGTTTTATTCAGCTTCTGATAAAAAGCATAAACTCTCGGGTCCTGCTCGTTTTTGCTCGTTTATTCTCGTTAATTCTCGATCGTGCTCGGAGAACGTTCTCCTAAAATACTTGCTCGAGCATTTTACATCACTAATAATAATATTAATACTAATAACAAACCACATATAAATAAAAATTTTAAAAACAGTACAATAAATTATTTCTAAATTAAAAAATTGAAAGGACAACAAAAAACAGCCAAAAACAGATCACAGAGTAAATCACTAGATTACACAACAATATCACAGTGATAGCTTCATTTGGTGCAAAGACGCAGCAAATATGTCCACCTGTATCTCATTGGCATAAGACATAGCCCGATTAATGGTTGTGTGTTGGCCATAAGAGGTATGATGTCTCCCCAACGAAAAACAGCGCACAGCTCTAAAATTCCTCACTGGGATATTCAAGTTTACAGCCGAGAGCAACTCAGGGCAATTCA